AGTCACCACCGTCACCTCCCTTACCTACAGCCAGAAAGCAGGGAAACTCGGAGCTGTGCAGTCTGAGGCTCCTTCTCCTTCAGCTTAGCCAGACCCCTAAGTCAGGCCTAGTAGGGGACAAGTAAGTTACAGAGGAGGGGAAATTCTGGGGGAGCCCTTTTGTCATGATCCAGACAGATACACCTCCCACCCACCCCCACCCTGGTCACGTCCACCTAAGCCTCTCCTTCCAGCCCTGCATCATCAAGCCCTAAGCAGGGCTTCTTCTTTTTTTTTTTTTTCCTTTGTTTGTTTTTAAGACTGCCCTAGCTGGCCTTGAACTCTCTTTGTAAACCAAGCTGACCTCAAACTCACTGCAATCCTCTTGCCCCTATCTTCCAAATGCTGAGATTATAGGCAAGGGCCACCACACTCAGCACCAGCACAGTGGGGTTTGGTTTTGTTTTGGGACTTTTTTTTTTCCTTTTTAATTTAGTGTTCTGGCGCACACACACACACACGTGCGTGCGTGCGTGCATGCGTGCATGTGTGTGTGTGTGTGTGTGTGTGTGCCTGCTCCTAAATATGTATGTATCTCTGTGCATTTTATGATGCAGTACCCCAGAAGGCCAAAAGAGGGAGTCGGATCCTGTGGAGCTGGAGTTAAAGTGAAGAGCTGCCTGCCCGGGTGCTGTAAACCAGACCCTGGTCTTTATGATTGAGCATCAGTGCTTTGGGCTCCAGGGTGGCTTTTATTCCACTGTTGCTTCCCTTTTCATAGTAAGGGAGTGAGATACTCAGCGCAGTATCTGGTGTGTGATCTTGAGGACATTAACAGGTTTTAGGCACCACCGTGTGCTGGCCACTTTATATCAGCATTTACCCTTTCGCATCCCTAAAGGCAGGCCATAGCATTTGGTTATTATTGCCAATCAGCGTGTATTAAGTACCTGCTGCGAGCCTGGCACTGTGCTGAGTCAGCTTGAACCATCTCCCAAGCTTCGCCTCAATCCCAAAATGAGTTCTTTAATCTGTATGGTAGAAATGGTGAAGGTGAGGTTCGTGGGGACAGGTGACCTGCAAGGCCACCCAGCCAGCAGAGGTAGACCTGAGGTTTGGATTCGATGTAAGCATGCAGTCAAGTCTTAGCCCTGCCCGCCCAGCCTTAGGCCACATCAGGACTTCAGGCACATGACAGATGTACATTTTTAGGGTCTTTGGGGAACGGTCACCTCCTCTAGGGCCACCTCGCACCAGGCTTCTGGCTCTCTGTCACCTGGCTGTGATTGATATTTTTTTGGAACTGTAGCCAGCTCCTGCATTGTCCCCCAGGGACTGGAATCTGCCTGGGTTGGAGCCCAGCCCTAGTAATTGATTGACCTTTGATTGATGTAGACTGCGGTTTGGGGCCTGGCCTGGCCCAGCCTGAAGTTGCCAGAAACCAGGGAATCCACAGCCCGACTTGACGTCCAAGGTTAGATATGGTGTGTGCTTCCTTTAGACTGAGTTGTTCTGGCTTTGAAAGAAGCATAGACCCTTGAATGTAGGTCCAGCTGGGGACCCAGAAAAACAAGGGACATGTGCCTCCCAAGCTGGGGTCTGAATCCCAAGCTAGTTCCCTCCTTAGTGGTCTCGCTCCCCGGTCCTGACCTGCTATGATTGCTAAGCATATAAAAATAAGGTGCCTGGCACGTAGTGGTTACTTGGCAAGATAACAAAATCTCACGGTGATAGATAGCTTCCATGCAGAGGTAGCTACCCTTGAATGGACTCTTTGCTGTGGGCTTGGCATCTGTGAGCCCAGGCAGGTCTCCCAGTAACCAAGAGGCACCATGACATCTGGGTTTTTCCACTACGGTCCAGTGACGTTTAGGACCCCTGATGGTTAATTTCGATTTGTCAGCTTGCCACTATTTAGAATCCCCTGAAAGGGGACCTCAAGGAGGGATTGTCTAGGTTGGCCTATGGGAGTGTCTGTAGGGGGCTGTATTATGCTAATGATATGGGAAGACCGAGTGTAAGACTGGGCAGCACCACTCCCTAGGTTTGGGGTTTTATTTACATAACAGTATTATTTCCTTCCTATACTATGATAAATCACTTGGACCAAAAGCAATTTGGGGAGAAGAGGATTTATTTGGCTTACCCCTGGATATCATAGACCATCATTGGGAGACAGCAGGACAGACCTCAAGTAGGAACTTGAAGCAGGAACCCTGGAAGAATGCCACTTTCTCTGGTCCCTGCTCAGTTAGCTTCCCAATACAGCCCAGGACCACTGGCCAGGGAATGGCGCCGCCCACATGGGCTGGGCCCTCAATTAGCCATCAAGGCAATCCTCTCCAGCTACACCTGCAGGCCAATCTGATCTGGGCAAATCCTTAATTGAGATTCCCTTCTCAGATGACGCCAGGCTGTGTCAAGTTGACAACTAGCACTAAGTAGGGCACGTAGGGAAAGTGAGCTGAGTAGCAGCGAGCGTGCCAGCATGCATTCATCCACTGTGCCCTGCTGGGTACGATGGGACCAGTAGCTTCAAGCCCCTGCCATGACTTCCCCAGCCATCGTGGCTGTAACCTGGAATTGGGAGCAAAAAGACCCCTTTCCCTCCAAGCTGCTTTGTATCGGGCTGTTTTAGCACAGCCTCAGGAAAGAGGCTAAGACAGGATCGGACCATTTCTTCTTAGGATGCTGGATGCTGTAGGCATCTTCCTTGGTGTTTGGTCAGTAGCACCCATGAATCCAAGAATGGGCCCGGATGTTACCAGTTGTCCCTCAAAGAACACACATTCTGCGTTGTGCTGAGGGGGAGCCCAGGCCGTCTGACATCAGAACTATGATGTGCCATCTCAGACCTTCACTGGAAACAATGTTCAGAAAGTAGGGGGACTTTGTGGCGCCAAGGGGCTCAGAGGAGAGGCATCCTTATGTCTTGGCCTGGGAAAGGCAAGCCCCTCATCGGGCACTCTTCTTGTCAAAGGCACGCAGCTGGTACCCAGCCCTCCACCGCCTGCAGACATCCCGCAGTGTCAGGAGGGGTACCCAGTCACCTCGCGGCCCTTCCTGCTGTAGATGGAGGCCATGACACCCTTGCCTGCCTCACTGCCACCCCACCACATCCTCTCACACTTGCTCCCCCACCCCAGCAGTCCCTCCGCCCTCAAGGCCCTCTTGCCTGCCTGTCCCCCACCCAGCCCTCTCACTCTGTAGGGAATCCATGGTCCCGTGTTCTCTGTGCTTCATTACTGACTCATTCAGGCATGAACTATTTATACCCCTCATACGGATGCTCGTCTTGGCGTTCCCGGCAGACACTGTTCTGCACGTGGCCGCAGGACACAGGAGGAGGCTGGGGCACAGACAGACAGATTGATAAGTGCATCAACCTAACAGGCATGGGATACCAGCCCAGCTCCTTTACTGCTGTGCGACCTTGCCCAGGTCAGTTAGCCTCTCTGAGCCTCTGGTTATGAAAAGTGTTAAAGTAAGCAACCAAGCTCCCACCCAAAGACAGTTTTCAATTCCTGGGGGCTGTTAGATGTCTCAAGTTGGGCGTGGCTGTATGTAACTGGCGAGGGGCAAAGGGGAGCCCATAGATAAGCAGGGAAGGCACTTGGTGTCTGTAACTGGGTGCCTGGTGTCAGACTGTTGTCATCTGTCCAGCTGAAGACCTCGGGTACCAGAAAAGCCCCACGTGTCACCCTGTCCCAGGAGACAGTCACCCTGACAGGAAGACCTGATGCACCTGCAAGCAAAGCCATTGCTTCAGGTATGGGCAGCACCTTACCAGCTAGGAAATGGGCTGGAGGCCACTTCTGGTCACTCACAACACAAGGAGTGTGGCCTTAGGAAAGGGACACTTAGACCCTGTTCTCACTGATCCCAGTCTCCACCAGGCTGTTGGTGTCAAAGGAAAGAAGGGAAGGGCAGGAACAGGCCTTGTTATCTGCTGGTTCTGTGCCAGGCTGCCCAGCAACCCCCACCACTCCCTGCAGACTCCCAGAACAGCCTGTTCCTGGACACACCCAAGGCCGCTACCCCGCTGTGACCATGGCCTTGCCTCTGCCTTCCTCCCGGCACAGGGCTCCACGAAGGCTGCTGAGACTCTTGGCTCTGGATTCCTTCCTGAGTCGCTTATTCACCAGCCTGAGCACCTGTCAGGTGCTTTTCACTCTGTCCCCTGGAACCTAGCATGAGCTGGAACAGGAAGTCAGATCCCCGTGTGCAGGGTGCGGTGTGAAAGGAGTCACTGGTCCCATGTGAAGGGATGTGGCTTAGTGGTGGAGCGGAACATACACCACAGAATGAATAAATAAATAAATAAATAGTGGGGCATGGCAGTGCATGTCTGTAGTCCCAACATGTGGGAGGTAGGGGCTTGCTACAAGTGCAAGGGCAGCCTGGGCTACATTGTGACTTTCAGGACAACCGGGGCTGCATAGTGAGACTGTTTAAAAAATAAGAGACCACTTTCCACGCCATCCTCTGACCACTGGGAATGATTTTGCACCTCCCCGCCTGCCCCCCACCTTCCCCACACACATACAGGAGACAGTTGACAGTGTTTGCGGAACATTTGGCTGTCGTAGCCCAGGAGGGCTACTTCTGTGAATATCCGACAGTGCACAGGGCAGCCCCCAGAGCAAAAAGGATCTCAGCCCCAGCTCACAAGGGCCTACCACCTAACTGGAGCCACAGATCCGGCCAGGGTGAGCCTGAGACACCCCACAAGTGCCTGTAGAGGTGCCTGGACCAGACAGCTGGATCCACAGGCATGGTGGGAGCTCTTTCTGCTTACCCCACACTCTGGACGGGAGGCTGTGGTTTCCTCCCTCAAGCCTCGGGCTCGTGTGAGAATCAGCACTGTTTTAAATACAGGATGCTACCCCAGCGTGTGTTGAGGTCCCTTCCAGCTCTGATGGAAAGACACGGACCACTTCCTGTATCCCAGGCTTGTGGCCTCGCCACATGGCCAGACGTGAGGCATATCAGGGTACCCTTAAGCCTCTCTGTGTCCACAGGTATGATGCCGGCAGGGATGGCTTCATCGACCTGATGGAACTGAAACTCATGATGGAGAAACTGGGGGCCCCCCAGACTCACCTGGGCCTGAAGAGCATGATCAATGAGGTGGATGAGGACTTTGACAGCAAGCTCAGCTTCCGGGAGGTGAGTTCCTCTGCAGCCTGTTCCCCAGCCTGCCACGCCTGAGCACCGGGTGGCCTTTGCTATAGAACGGCCCTGTCGTTGACCAATAGACTGTGGATACCTGGTGAGGCTTGCGAGGCATTCTTGGCAGGTGTCCTCCTGCCTCAGCCTCCCAAGTGCCGGGATTATAGATGTAAGCCACCACAACCAGCTATTTTGGAGGACTTCTGTCTGCCCAGCTGAGTTGTAGGAAAGGCTGTGTAGCCTGATTTAGAAGGGGAGGCAGCTGAACACGTGCTTGGCTCAGAGGAAAGGGAGTGGTGCCTGCTACCAAGCGAGGTAGCTTCACATTCTCTGAGGCAGAAGCTATGGACCAGCCTGTTTAGGAACTGGCAGGAGGGGTGAAGGTTAAAGCGTGATAGCTATGGTTCTAAACAGCATGGAGCTGCGTGTCTGGGGAGGCGGGTGCTCAGGGAGCCCTGTCCCTTACAACTGGCAGGAGGTCGGGGAGAGAGGAGGTGTCACGGGCTTCTTGGGGTGCAGGAGGTGACAGGAGACCTGAGAAGAACATCAGAGTGGCCATGGGAATGAGTTGGGGTCAGAGCATCCATTCCCTTCCATCACTTAAGCCTTTTGCCACCTCCAAACCATCTTCCAAACTGCAGAATGGGAGCGAGCTCCCCCCACCCGCCCACCCGGGCTTTGGGAATGGAATACAGTGCAGATTTATGCGGGGGAACCCTGGATCCTGGATGACAAACAGGAGAGGCAGGCTGAAGCTGAGGGTGGGAGCTGGGTGTGGTCCTTAGCCCAAGGTCCTGGCAAGGTCCACCAGGAAGATAGGGACTGATAGGGCCTGAAACCCAGCCCTGCTGGTGAGCACATAGCTCTGCCTTTCTACAGAGGTATGAGCCCAGGCTTGGGTGTGGCCCGGGACTTTGTTCCACTCGTGCCTTGCTGACCCCGTGTCTCCCCTCCACAGTTCCTTCTGATCTTCCGCAAGGCAGCAGCAGGGGAGTTGCAGGAAGACAGTGGCTTGCACGTCCTGGCCCGCCTCTCGGAGATCGATGTCTCCACAGAGGGTGTGAAGGGTGCCAAGAACTTCTTCGAGGCGAAGGTGAGGAGCCAGGGACTGCGCGTGGTCCAGCTATGTGATGGCGTGGTCCAGCTGTGTGATGGCGTGATCCAGCTGTGTGATGGCGTGGTCCAGCTGTGTGATGGCGTGGTCCAGCTGTGTGATGGCGTGGGGCGTGGTCCAGCTGTGTGATGGCGTGGGGCGTGGTCCAGCTATGTGACTGCACAGCTTAGATTGGGGACTGGCTCAATCCCTCCCTGTCCCAGTTGAGCCAACTCTTTGTGGGGTGTGCAGGGCTAGGGGCTCTTAAAGAGGGAGACAGCCAGCATTGCTCCCTAGAGACCCTCTCCTGTCAGCCCTACCCTGGAGGAAGCTGGGTGGGGGTGGGGGGTCCTCAGACCTCATACGTCTGTATGTACAAGCCTCCTCCCCTTCAGCACACACATAGATGGGGGGACACATTGGGTCCAATGACTCCTGAGTCCTGCCCACCCAGGCCACCCGCCTTTCCTTATTCCTCTTCTCCAAACTAAGACCTTTGCTTCCCAAGGCTGCCCTGCCTCCCCTCTCTTCCAACCTTTGATAGAGATGTCAGGGTCCATCAGCAGACCTATTGGCTCACCTTAGGTCAGGACATCAAGAGCATCATTCCTGCCTGCAGAGCCCGGCACTGCTCTGCCAATGACTATTCTGTGTGTCTCTGTCTCTCTGTCTCTCACTCTTTCTTCGTCTCTGAGAGACGTAGTCTCACACAACCCAGGCTGGCCTTGAACTCTGACCCTCCTGCTTCTGTCTCGCCTGTGCTGGGATCACAGGTGTTCAGCACCACGCCCCGCCTGGTTTTCTTGAAGTACTGCTCAAACCCAGGCTGCCATGCGTGCTGGGCGAGCATTTTACCAGTTGTACCCTATCAGTGCGTTATTTTACCCTTCCCCTACGGGCCCCTGGGGTCAGCCACCGTGTGCCAGGTTCTGTGTGGAGAGACTGAGGCATGGAGGGGAAACTGTGGCTCATGAGGGCCACTGTCAGGGAGCCTGGGACAGAAGGTGAGCAGCTCCTAGGGGTGCTATGGTGACCGTGTCCCCGACCTGTCACCCTTTCTCCCAGGTCCAGGCCATCAATGTGTCCAGCCGCTTTGAGGAGGAGATCAAAGCCGAGCAAGAGGAAAGGAAGAAGCAGGCTGAGGAGGTGAAACAGCGGAAAGCGGCCTTCAAGGAACTGCAGTCCACCTTCAAGTAGCCAGGGCCAAGGCCGAGACCCAGCCCTGCCCAGTGTGCAGTCTGGGGGCACGGATGGGTACAGGAGACCTGTGGGAGACAGGCCTGAGTCCTGGTCTGTGTGCCAGGACCACTACTAAAATCTAAACTGTACGTAAATGGATCTCATTGAGGAGTCTCCCCGGTGATTGGGCCAGTCCCTGCTCCCTCCCGCTGTCCCTGAGGCTGTGACACCAGACACCAGCATCCTCTGTCTGGCCACCCTGCTGCCTGCTCTAGCCCAGTTCCAGCCCATTCACCATGCCCCTGCCTTGTCTACCAGCTACTTTCTCCACCCACCTACCCTTAACTATAGGCCGCCCTGCCCTGAGCCTCATGGCCCCTTCCTAAATAAGAACCAGCAGAGAGAGTCAGTCCTCTCCACAGGACGCTTCCTTTCAGGCCCTTCTCTGCTGGACGTGGAAGGACTCCTGTTTTGGTGAAGAGATCCAGGTCCTAGCACTCTAGGCTGATATGAATGGGGCTAGAAGTGGAGGGACTCCTATTTTGATGAAGAGACCCAGGCCCTAACACTCTAGGCTAATAAAAAACGGGGCCCAGGCAGGGTGAAGGCCACTGAATCTACCTCACAGGCTGCACTCTGCTAGGCATGTCATGGGGACATGAGTGACAGGGCTCTGTGGGGAGGGGCAGCTATGTCTGTTTCTGACACCCTACCCCATGAACAAGCTGAAGGTCCCAAGGGGCTGGGGTGGGGTGCCAAGGGATTGGCCTTCCTAGGGACCTCAGCACTCTGCCTTGGAGTGCCTGACGTGTTTGTGTACTGGCAGAAGGACACAGGGCTGGCACCCCTTTCACACGTATCCTTCCCTGCGCTTGTCACCAGTGACAACGCCTGCCTGTCATGCCCACCCCTAGAACGCATGGGGGTTCCCCAAGCCCACCCATCGCCAGACAGGCCATAGTGAAGCGCGTGCCATTCCTCCGTAGCTCCCATGTGCTTGCTCACATGTGTGTGTGTATGTGTGTGTGTGTATCTGTTGCCGTGTTGGTGAAACTGTGACGTCACCCAGTCTAAGTGAACGGCCGTAGCGGCCGCCTTTGTGCAGCGTTCAGTGTGCCACCGCTTTGGAAGTTGATGACTCTTTATTTACCACAGCTCCTGGAGTCCCCAGTTCCCCCTGTGGGACTCGCAAAGGTTTTATTTTTTCAGCCTTAGCACCCATGAGAATCAGAGGGACCGAGCCCAGCCCATCCCGGCGGCTATGGCCCTGGCTTGTGTTTGCCTTAGTGGATATGTTTATACAGATGGATATAAATTCCCTTTGCTTTTGGCTTTTTGCATTTTATTTTTTTGCCCTCTCTCTCACCACCTTTTCCCCTGCTCCCCCCAGCAAAAAAAAAAGAAAACAGCTACTTCTTCATTCAGTGGTACGATTATTTTTTTTAACTAAAACGAGATAAAAGTCTATATTCTTATGTGTGTGTGGTTTTTGATGGCTCACTGAAGAGGGCAGGGGATGGGACAAGGATAAAGGTCACTGGATTTGGGCAGTCACGTCAGGAGCCTGGGGAGGACACTCCCGATGGTGAGGTTGGGCCCTTAGCGCCTTTGAAACACTACCAGTCCAAGCACAACGTATATTAAACACATTTTGTCCTGAAAGAAGCTCACTGAAGGGCACTGTCTTTTAAACCCCTTTTAAAGATAAGAATGGGGGGTGTGGAGAGATGGCTCAGAGGTTACGAGCACTGGCTGCTCTTCCAGAAGACCCAGGTTCAATTCCCAGCAACTACGTGATGGCTCACGACCATCTCTAGTGAGATCTAATGCCCTCTACCGCCATAAAGGCGTATATGCAGATAAAGCACTCATATACATAAAATAAATAAGTCTTTGAATATAGAATATATAGAGTAGGGAGGCCTGAAGGCGGCCAGGCACACAGACCAATTGGAGCTAGCCCACGGCCCATGTGTGCCACCTGACCCCAAAATGATGGCCAGGACCAGATGTGGTGCATGCCTTCTAGAGCCTGAGTTGGGTCTATACTGCAAGACCCTATCTAAAGAAACAGGATCAGAATCAGTGAATCCCCATGGTACATATACCCACCGTGCTCAGTGTCCCTGGAGTGGGGGAGTGGCTGCAGTGGTGGCACCAGCAGCTGCCCCTGCGGTGCCCATGGCATCCGGGTCCTCATCGCCGAACATGTAGGTAGACTGGTCTTTGCAGACTTGTGGTCAGACAGACTTGTGTGTAGGCAGAGTGGGAGAAGTTTCTGATTTGTCTGCATTCTTCTGCCCCCATGTGGCTATGGTGGAACTGCAGCATCAGGTGCAAAGATGACCAGGTAACACAACCACTCACAGCCTCCTGGATGGGAAACAGTTGTCAGGTCTTCCCTTGAAGAAGAAAGCCTTGTTCCCAGAACTGGTCAACAGTTCAGGGCTTCCTGGTACTTATCTGTGAACTCTACACCCTCTATACCCCTTGTACTAGGGCTTCCCTAACTTGCTAGAGCAGTGGTTCTCAACCTTCCTGACGCTGCATGATAAACTAATTCTGCTACTGTTAAGAATGTAAATATATGATATGCAGGGTATCTGATCTGCGACCCCTGCGAAAGGGTTATTTGACCCCCAGAGGGGTCGCAACCCCATAGGTTGAGTCCAATGTGCTAGCGGGACAGACTTTGGTGGGGGAAGAGACCAGCTGCCATTCAAACTGCAACAGGCTGACATCAGCTGCCAGAGTGTCAGCTGTTGGGGACGGCAAGCCTTAGCCTGCCAAGACCCCCATCCACGGCAGACCCTACAGAGAAAGCCCGCTGAGAAATGAGGAGGCCTCAAATGACCTGTTCCCATGAGGGACTGCTCCAGAAGCCATCCCTAGGACACCGGCCTGTCATGTCAGCCTTGGGGAGGTAGAGGCAGGAGGATCAGGAGTGAAAAACCAGCCTGGGCTCCATGGCCCCACATGGTGGAAGGAGAGAACCAACTCCACCAAGTGGTCCTCTGGCCTCCACATGTACACCTTGGCATGTGTGTGTATACACAAGGAAATAAATAAATGTAATTTTTACTTTTATTTTTAAATCCAAACAAATGAAAAACTAAACTTCCCAAGGTCCCATCTTCTCACTATACCTCTTTACCAGGTCCCAGCCACCCAAGTCTCCATTGCTTTCCCAGATCCTCCACTGAATTTGGGTTTTGTTTTGTTTTGTTTTGATTTTAAGACCCGGGGGTCTCAACATGTAGCCCTGGATGGCCTGGCAATCTCTGCGTAGACCAGGCTGGCCTCAAACTCTGAGCTCTATCTGCCTCAGTCTCCTGAGTACTGGGGTTAAAAGTACCGCCACACCCAACCCCACATTGAACTTACCACTCTACCTTGCTGATCTGAAACTCTTCAGCGGACCCCAAACTCTCTCTGAGGCCACAGTTCTGCCCTGTGGTATTGGAGGGAAAACCTCACCAGCCCTTCAGTCTCCCCCACTTAATGAGCCTCATTCAAGAGGCAACAGCTGCCACCAGTCTTGTCGAAGGAGGCAGAGAATCCAGGGCCCTGTCATTAGCACCTGTCCCTTTCCCGGGCTCTCACGCCTCCCTCACGGCCTTCTCTGGAGGCCACAGCCCCCAGTGCACTCACGTATCTTCTGTGGTTACTTTTCCATTACAGCCTCTGATCCTGAGATCTTAGGTCCTGAGAGACAACTGCGGGTGCTGGGAATCGGGGATATGGTGGGAAACAGTGGAGGGACCTGATGCCTTCAGCACCCCCAGTTCTCCAGCTCCTTCTGAACATGGGATGAGCAGAGCAGAGACCTCACTGCATCCCATCCACCAAGCTCCCACCTAGGCCTAATGGAGTTCATCTCCTACTGTCTTCCCCAGGGAACATGTCACCCTGGCTGACAGGGAGCTGCCTTTGGCACACAGCATACACATAGCAAGTGCTCAATGAATCTTGGGGTCGTGAATGAACCCATTCGTGTTTTTTTATATGTATAGCATGCCAAGTAAAACACAAACAAACACACATCTGTAAACAGACAAGTCAAGCCCTATTCCAGAGTCACAGGAAATCCGCCAGCCCCCTGTGATAGCAGTAAGTCAGCCCACCCAGTATCACAGCATGGGCCAAGGCTAAGGGAGTCCTCCCTCCAGCCATTCCCTGCAGCAGAGCCAGAGACCAGAGGGCCAAAGTAACAGCTGCCCACCCCACCAGCTGCTCTTGAGAAAGGGCTGCTCACAGGCACACTGAAGATACCCAAGGGTAGTGCCAAAGACCTTGAGAGGCCCAAGAGAATGCTTTTGATTTCTTTTAAATCAGCAGGAGGGGCTGGAGAGATGACTCAGTGGTTAAGAGCACTGGCTGCTCTTCCAGAGGACCTGAGTTCAATTCCCAGCAACCACATGATGGCTCACGCCTATCTGTAATGAGCTCTGGTGCCCTCTTCTGGTCTGTAGACATACATGCAGGCAGAACACATGATAAGTAAATTTTTAAAAAAAAAATCAGCAGGAAGCAGAGATGGCTCAGTGGCTAAGAGCATTTGCTACTTTCACAGAGGACCCAGGTTTGGTTCCCAGAACCCACACAGCGGCTCACAACCATCTGCAAGTCCAGTTCCAGGAGGTCTGATTCCTCCTCTGGCCTCCTCTGGCACACAGGCACAGCTGTGTACAGCTGTAGGCAAACATTCACGCACATAAAATCATCTTTACATTTAAAATAATATAATAATAATAGCGATAATAATAAATCTGCAGAAAAATATGCAAATTGAGTCACAGTCATCTACAAAGGCAGGCAGCCTGGAGTTTGGACTAGTATTCTGATGGCAGATACAGGCCCTGTGGATTCACTCCACCTTGGAAACCCCATACTTCTAGCCAACCACATCTCCTGCCCAAATTAAACAGTAATTACCAAGGTCAGGAAAAGGCCTTGTCAGAACAGGTTTGTCCCCAGGCTGAGGTCAGCCTTGACTCCTGGGCCCTCACTCCCCCTCCCTTAGGCCTATAAATGCCCAGCCTGCCTCCACGCCAGCCAGTCCTGAGCGCCTGATCATGCTGGCAATTACAGTCCTCGCGGCCATCATAGCCTGCGGTAAGCTTGGGAGTGGGGTCAAGCTGCAGCCAGTGGACTGTAAGATCAAGCTGGCCTCGGGGTGTCCTCTGCTCCCCAAGAAAGGCACTTTGGGGTCCTGTGTGGGTTCAGCTACTGAGCAGCTGTGTGACAACTAAGCCACTTCCAAACTAGTAGGTGCTGGAGAAGAGAAGAACACCCTCTAGGGAGTGAGGCTTAGACCAGAGGCCTGAGCAGGGCCCCCAGAGGTGCTTCACCCTGTGTCCACTCCAGGGGACCACTGGGCCTGCCTTTCCCATCTGTGTCTCCCTCTTAGGGTTCCTTTGCTCTCCCACGTTGGTGGCGTCCTCCCAGATTACAAACTGAGGGGTTCGATAGGCTTTGGTTTGGTTTTGGCAAGTGAGAGCCCTTCGTCAGGCGTCAAGCTGAGCTCTCTAGATGCAGACTGGGCCATATCTCCATTCAACAGTGGGGACACAGAGGTCCAGTGATACTCGGGCTCACATGCTGGCTGCCAGCCAGAATGCCAGCCCCATCTCCTCACCTCAGAGCAAGGACACACTGACTTCCTAGACATGACAGTGTGGGACTCCGTGTAGCCCACACTGAATGCTCCCCCGTACACATGCTGCACACAAAAGGCCTGCTCCTTTCACTATAGGAAGCATCCCTCTTCCTTTTTTTTTTTTTTTTTTTTTTGGTTTTTCGAGACAGGGTTTCTCTGTGGCTTTGGAGCCTGGAGCCTGTCCTGGAATTAGCTCTTGTAGACCAGGCTGGCCTCGAACTCACAGAGATCCTCCTGTCTCTGCCTCCCGAGTGCTGGGATTTAAGGCGTGTGCCACCACTGCCTGGCTTCTATGGCTTTTTAAATGTGTCATGTGGCTTAATACTCAGGAGCCGCTCAAGTTAGTGTTATTCTACACACACACACCGGGGTTGGGGGACTGAGACCCAGACAGCTAGAGGGACTCTTCCGAGTCACTGAGTAGAATATGAGCCACCACCACACCTGAGCCCCGGGGTGGGGTGAGGGGACACATGACACAACAGTCTACCCACCTTCACGCCCCTCTCTCCCCAGCCTCCAGCTGCGGGGATCCCACCTACCCACCCAACCTGTCAACCAGGGTGGTAGGAGGAGATGATGCTGTCCCCCACAGCTGGCCGTGGCAGGTAAGCACTTCCTGGGGCAGCCCCAGAGGCGGAGGGACAAGGCTGGGGATCCCTGGAGGGCTGACATGTGGTCCTTTTGCAGATCTCTCTGCAGTACCTCAGGGACGGCGAATGGAGGCACACCTGCGGGGGCACTCTGATCACCAACAGACACGTCCTCACCGCTGCCCACTGCATCAGGTGAGCGGGGACCATCCTGAGACCAGAG